TTCAATTTAATTTGCTAAATAATGGTGTAAAGTTTTACTATGGAATTTATTTTTTTAAAAAATTACATCAAATGTTATCTAAATTAAAGTGTGATCTTTTTTTATGACAAATAAGATGTGACATGACTATGTTATTTAATAAATAATTATAAAAATTAAGAATAGAAAAAATAATAATATTTGGGTGAATAAATTAGGACAATTAATTAACCTTAATTATACTAAAATCTATCTCTTTTTTAAGAAGTCTTGGATTCTTAAAAAATTAAGATTAGTTTGACGCAAATAAAAAAAACCTAATGTATAAAAAAAAAGTTCATACAATAATCGTTTAGCTTCTGATTTATTTTGTTACTTAGATTATTACTTGGAATCAATTAATCCGAGCAAAGAGCTTGTATTAGGGTCTAGAAGTTCATTGAAAAATAAAAATCTCTTATCTTTAAAAATGGCGATTTGAACTTATGACAGAGTCTTAAGGGTGTGTTTGTTTGAGGATAAGTAGAAAGGAAGTGAGGGGTGGGATAGAAATGGGAAGTGAAATTTCAAATTTGAAAATATTCATTGTTTGGATGGAAAGAAGTTGGGAAGAAATGAGAAGACAATGCAAAGGAAGTTGAAAGATAGTGTAAAAAACTTCCCTCCACAAATAGAGTGAAAAAAGTATAATACGGAGTAATGTTTTCAATGCATAAATATGATACTCTGTTCATCTCTAAATAAATTTTATATTAATGAAATTGTTTTTTATGTGCCTAAATGAAGTTAGTTTTAATTATAGAAGAGAAATCTTAATTTGTTGTTAGTTTTTATTTTAAATTATCAAAAATTTGAACTTCTCCCCTGGCTTGAGTGGTAGCAAGCCCACTCCCCAGGATTCATGGGGAAGTTCACCTAGGTTCGAGCCCCAGCGAAGGCAGCAGCATTGGCTCTTTGTGCGTCATTAGTCATTAGCTTGAAAATAGTATGAACAGATACTACCTTGTAATAGAGTCAATAGCATTCAAAAAAAAATATCAAAAATTTAAATCAAATAAGTTAGGATAAAGTTCCTTTTAATATGACTTTTGAACTTTATCTTACTTAATTACTATTTTAATCAAAATAAATTCATACTATTACTTATCATTTTTCAAAGGTGTACATTTGAATTTAAAAATTTTATATTCTGTAATAATTTAAAAAAAGAATAAAGCAGGAGTAAAACATTAAAAAAATACTAAAATAGGAGCTCAATGTTTTTATTTTCAAAATACAAGTTTAAATTCGAAAAATGTCAACATACAATACCAAAAAACATTGTGATATGACAATGCATTGTGCAATGTTGTATAAGTGTCAATTTTGAAAACAAGGGCTATGTTTTACTCATATTAAGGTGATTTCTTAATAATTTACCATATCTACAAATGAAAATAAAAATATTTCAATGAACACTTTTTTTTCATTTACGCAATCATATTTAGAACTTTATAAGATGTTATTCTCAGAGATGGAGAGACAAAAATTGTGGTAAGGAAAATCAAAGTTTCGAAGGAGAAGATTCAAGGTGCAGAAGTGAATAAGATTTAGACTCACTTATAACTATTTGAGAATTAAAATTTCTCATTTGCAAGTCTTTATATTTTGATAAAACATTGACACAAATATTTTCACGGAGTTTAAATAGTTTTGTATCTAAAAAGAAAGCAAAAATAATTGAATAAAAACATTAAAATATTCTCCGTAACCCTTTGAGATCATAAGATTGCTAGTATTTTCATTTTATTAATATTTTTTAATATATGGCATGAGAGAAGAACCATTGTATTTCTAACGTTTTTAAAATTAGTATGGGAGAAAGACGAAAGTAAGACTAAAACATTGAAAATATACCAAAATAGGACTTCCATGATTTTACTCCCCAAATAGCTAGGACTTAAAATGTATTTACATTACCAAAAATGATCATTTACATTACCAAAAAGTATAGTAATGTGCACATGTACAGTGTCACAATACCATAGTGCGAAGCCTTATTTCGGAAAAAAAAAATGAAAGTTTTATTTTGGTACTTTTCTCTATGTTTTAGTCCTATTTAGGGTGATTTCTAAATTAGTGTTTTTGTATATAAGATCACTAATCCATATTCTTATGTTTTTAATAATACTACAGAGAAGAATCGTTTTTTGAGAAAAACACTAAACTAGGAGTAAAACACGGAGAAAATATCAAAAAACTTCATACACTTTTTTATCTCTAAAGTAGTAGTACATTGCCATTAATGACAACATATAACACCAAAAATATAGTGAGATGTCACTATACAATGCCATAATGTCACAGTGGAAACTTCTATTTTTAGGATAAACATTAAACTACTATTTTGGAGATAAATATTATGTTTAACTTATATTTGAGGTTATTATTTTTAATTCCTTAGGAGAAGTACCGTCATAGCACTAATATATGCTTAAAATATTCAATATGGCACTCATATGGGATATTGGAACTCGTGTGGACACAATTCTAAATTTGTCCTTCAATCCACACTGTCAAAAAATATGTTTAAGTTGGTATACACTTCCAGAACATGCGCATAACACATCACCGTCATACCCAATATAACATGTATCCACACTGCAAAACTATGACCATTCCACACTGCCAAAAAATGTGTTTAAGTTGGCATACACTTCTAGAACATGAGCATAACACACTGTCAGAAAGTGTACGTAGTTAAGTATTGTGAACCATTACACGTTGTCCAAAACATGGACATAACACACTGCCAGATAGTGTAGGCATAACATGACCATTCCACACTGCCAAAAAAGTTGGTATACACTTCCAATTCATTTATTGAATGTGTTTAAGCAGTGAAGAGTGGCTCAACGGTTCTAAGTGCTACGTACACGGAATGAGAATAACCTCTTAAAATTATGGATCTCAATAAATATGGTAAATGAAATAATTAAATAAATGACGTGTAGTTTTAAATTTAAAATAAAGCTTTATATTTTTTAAGAAAATAACACTTACATAATCTTCTTTCTAAAATAATAAAATAATTGTGTACATTAACAATATAATAATTAGAATAGGGAAATACTTATTGTTATAGTACTTAGAAATAAAAAAGTTTATACAAAATTATTGGTCATCAAATTTAAGAATGATGAAAGTGCTTTTAGTCAATGAATAATTATAGAAAATATTTGGTTCATTTTGGGACAAGAGAAGTGCTCCATACTAAAGCAAAAAGACTAAACTAACAGTGAAATATAGAAAAAAATTCCAAAATATGAATTCTATGTTTTATTTTTTGAAAATAGTACTAATAATGTCAATATACAACACTAATACATTGTGGAAAACTATTATACAATCCCAATTCAAATTATCACAGTGCCGTAGTATTATTTTGTGAATAAAAAATATAGAATCATAGGGTCTATGTTTTGGGCCTAAAAAAATACTACCTCGAGTATTTGTTCACTTTCATATTTACACACCATCCAATACACTTCTTTAATCCATTTTATCTTGTAATTTGTATATTAAAAAATTATAGAAATTATATATTAATAATCTATATGTTAAGACAAATCAAACAAGATCACACATGACTATATTTAGGCTTACACATTGAGAGAATTAGATGAATTAAAGTGCTTAGATGAACAGTTCCAAAAGTCAAAAGTGGACGAATATAGCGGGACGGAGGGAGTAGATTTCTTTACTAAATTCATACATTACAAAAAAGGGAAAGTTCTCTTGTGGTACTGAAGTTAATTTATGCTTATTTTATGCACCTTAATTAGTCCATTTATATCATAAAAAGATTGAGTATTTTGTAAAAAGAAAAATATCTACTTGTCAGCACATGAAAAATGTGAAAAAGTTCATATTTTACCTATAGATGGACCACGGAAGAACAACTCTAAAAAAATAATATGTCAAATAAAAATGAAAAAGAGAAATAAAAATATAGATTGTGTGGCGCATTACCACGTCTTAGACCCCGTTTGGTATTAGGGAGAAAGACCAAAGTAGGACTAAAACATTGAAAATATACCAAAATAGGAGTTCCATGTTTTTATTCCCGAAATAGGACTTACATTACCAAACATGGTCATATACATTACCAAAAAAGTATAGTAATGTGCACATGTACACTGCCACATGACCACAGTGCAAAGTCACATTACCACAGTGCAAAGTCATATTTCGAGAAGAAAAAACATGAAAGTCCTATTTTGGTACTTTACTCTATGTTTTAGTCCTATTTAAGGTGATTTCTATTGGTATTAACATTAGAGATTAGCGTTAGCGTTTTGAAAAGGCTATCCGACGGTAGCCTTTAGCATTAGCGTTTTTAGAATTAATCTACACCATTAAATTTTTATCCAAAATACTAAAGCTAATCGAAAACATTGTTCCCAAACAAGGCCTTAATTATATGCATAAACAAACGGAGTAATACGAAGTAGGGAGATTTCTTAACATAAATTTCCTTTCTTTATTTCTAATAGAGTAACTATATATACATTGTATTGTTTGAATAATAAAGTGACACTTTGACGTGACGATATTTTAAAAAATGTTGAATACTACGGAGTATAAGTTATTAATTTGGTACTGTGGAAAGTAAAAAAAATATTGTTGAAATTTATTTGAATTAGATAGAATAATAAAAGTGTACATATATTTATTTCGGGGATGGTGAATAATTGAAAAGTTGAGTTTTGAACGTCTAAAAATGGAAAGTGCAAAGTTGATTTGGAGTATTAAATATAATGAATTAATTATAGGGTGAATTCAAATTAATTACATTTATTTTAAAATGTACCGTGTAGTTTAAACTTTGCTTATTGCTGGATTAAATATTTTTTTAAATTTATTTTTTCAAAAATTAAATACGGAGTAAAAATTTATGTGCGAATAAAGTGTATTAAGAGCGAAGATTACATGCAGTACTTTTATTTGCAACTATAAATAGAGTAAGATTTTAGTCTAATATCACATTGAAAAAAGTTAATCAAATCCTCAATCACACAATATGGCCTTTCCTCATACTAATCTCACCACAATCTTCTTTGGTATCCTTCTTCTTCCTCTCCTCTCCTTCACCAACGTCCACGGAGATCTCGTAGACGACGTCTGCGCGAAAGCGCAACAGCACTCTCTGTGCCAGAAAGTTCTGAGAGCGGACCTGCGTTCCAAGAACGCGGATCTCAAAACCCTAGGGTTCGTCGCGATCGACGCCATGACAAACGAAGTCAAGTCTGGGCTGAGCCTTGCTCAGTCGCTTCTGGGCAGGGCCACTGACCCCAGACAGAAGTCCCCGCTCTCTGCGTGCGTGGACTCCTTAGGGCACTCCATAAGGAATCTGGAGGAGTGCTCGGGGTCCTGGAGGTCAGGAGACCTTGTTGGGGTCAACATCCAAGCCTCTATGGCCGCGGGCTTTGCGCAGGGTTGCGACCGCGGGTTTTCTGACCATTCCATCCCCGAGCCTCCCCAGCTCAGGAACTCGTGTTCCACAGCGCAATGGATTGACGATATTATTTCCGTTATTAGCAGTCTTTCGAGGCCGCCCGTTGCAGCATGAGATATAATATAAGTTCAAAGCTAAGGGTTTTTATTTTGAAATCTTCGAATTCTCAATAGATTTTAGTTAGGTTTTTGGAGATGGCAATGAGATTATATTGGATCGTGCACTGTTGATCTCAAATAAAATTTTGCAAGTTTATTTAGTTTTTTATCAGTTTGTCTTTTGAGTCACAACAAAAATGACACAAACTTAACTTGTAATTTATGAATCTTATGGAGTACTTGTATTAAGAAAAATCAAGTGGTTTCAAATAATTAAAAGTGAACATTTAAATTCACAAATGATTAGTTGTCAAGTTTGTGTTATTTTGGTTTGTCACTCTAATTATTTTCTTATCTTATTATTATTATTATTATTACACGTATAATACAGAGTAACATGAAGTAATGATAATAATAGCGGAGAATCTACCTAAATAGTACTCCGTATTAAAACATAATGACTATTTTGTGTGATTGGGTTGACTTAGATCAGACAAGAATTTAAATAGACGTTGTTAAACGACTTAGGAGGCATATAATGCACACTCGTTCAATGATAATACAAATTCATAGCAGGGGTCCGGAGGCAGGAGTCCCTGGCAGGGTCCAAGGGGTAGAGCCCCTGGCCGGGGTTGAAATATTAGAAAGTCTTGGACTTTGGAAAAGGACCGATTTTGACAAAATTCTACGAACGTTTGCATCCAAATATTGGAAGTCTGCGATATTCCCTATCGCGCGAATGTTTGCAAACCTTTACGCAAAAACATCATGTCAGATTGGTAATCTTCGTCTCTATAAATCGAGACGCTGGGGTATGGTTGAATGTGGATTCGAAAGGCTTGTTCTTGATTAATGTCTTATCCGATTCAAGTATTTCGTATACTCCGAAATAATAACTTTGACCTTAAAGTGTTTTTACGCGATTCATTATACTCTATCAAGTTATTCTTCTCATTCTTCATTAACGCTGCTCCGCAGCGTTTTTTCTCCATAGTATTTTCCTACACAGGGGTGGAATAGATCAATAATGCTTGAGGGCCTCTTGGTACCAAGTGATGCGCAACAGATTCTCAAAATCCCCATTTGTCTATTCCGTAAGGATGTTTGGCATTGGAGAGGGGATTATATTCTCCCTACGTACAATTGAAGCATTGAACACAAAGGGATTATAATTAGTCTTGCCAAAATGTTTGTGGTCAATCTGAAAAGCCAGAAATGTGGCTGTGTGCATGGGATTTTAATTAAGTGCAGCACCCCATGCCAGTCCATTTCTCGATCTGCAGGGCGAAGCATATATTGCTGATGAGGGGATGGTCTAACGCTGGTGAATGAGGAGCATCATGCATGGGTCTATCTATTTCTTCATATTTTTGGGTTCGATTATTGATGATTGCTCTCATATTCTCCCTTCTTTTGAAACAACCGCTGTTTCTCATACTTTTGTAGGGGTGGTGGGGAAGGAGGCATTTATTATGGGAGGGAGCAAAGGTAGAAACATCAATATTTTGATTAGAACATCATAGGTCTTGCTGTCATTATATGATGTTAGGGAGTTTTGTCCAAAGAAGGGGGCCATATTATTGTTGTTGTTCTTACTTTGTTGTTTTTATACGTTCTTGTGATGGTGGTGGGAATGAGTAGTTCTACCGGGATCTTAAGGTTTGCATAACAATAACAACAACAATAATAACAATAAGAGGGGAGGTAATCTTTCAACACTTCAATTAGTGTAAGGGGCTGTTTGTTTCAGCCTCTTAATGGTTCAGATGTCTGAATGGTTCAACACTTAATGGTTCAGACTGTTTGTTTCAGCCTCTTAATGGTTCAGATGTCTGAATGTTTAAGAGATTTGCCTCTGAATGGTTAAATATTATACAGAGTCTGAATGGTTAAGACCTCTTATCTGAATTGATCAGACATTTGCCTCTGAATAGTTAAGCAATATACTAGCTCTTAATGGTTCAGACCTCTTACTGGTTCAGCACTTAATGGTTCAGACCTCTTACTGGTTCAGCACTTAATCATTTAGAAGTTGTCAAACAGCCCCTAAGTTAGTTACACCAATTCAATTGGTTTTTCCTAAGAGGATTAGAAGAAAATGAAAAAAAAAACTAGAATGAAGGAAATAGAAAATACTAGAAGGAATTGGAAAAAATTGAAAAAACGATAAGAAACTAGAAGTTAAGAGTTTACGCCAAAAAAACAAGTCGTGAGTGTGAATCATATAAATATTACTAATATGATTTGAAACAAAAATATAATGACATAGAAGAAAATAAAAAGAGTTAAAAAGTTGAAAAATAGTAGATCGGAGTAAAAATTATTCAAATAAGATAAAAAAAATTTACAAAAAAAAAACAATTATTTTGACAATTTTTATGTTTTTCAATTTCTTCCAATTTCTTCTCGCCCTTCAACTTTTCCCCCATATATTTTCCTATTTTTTTCCATCTTTTTCATTGATTATATGATGAAATATAATATTATGTCACCTTCTTTTGTTTGTTTTATACTCAAAATCTCAAATCTCTGGAGAACCTCCAGCGTGATTTTTTAAATTTTTAAGTTTTGTTTTGTAATCTTATACCAATTTTTAAATAAAATGGTATCAAAAGACACCTAGTTTGTCTTGTAAAAACAATATTGTAATCAAATACTCCGTATGAGGCAGAGAATGCATAAGGGTGTATATAGCACCAACACAAATGTTATGGATTGGTAAATTTATACTCTCTCTTGCTAGAAAATTGCCACAGTTTGACTTTTTTTGTCAAATTGGGACATACTTTGACCGTAAATTATATAAAAAGTATATTTAGTTGTAATGTATATTTAGTAAAATTGAGTTTATTATAAAATATAGTTTTGAAATATCAAATTTTTATAGTACTTAATCATCTTACACTATATTTAATTCATGGTCAAAGTATGCCACAACTTGACCAAAAATGTCAAACTGTGGTAATGTTTTAAGGACGGAGGGAATATTATGATATATGGAGCACGTACTATTTTTTCTAAAATCGAAGGTATATATAATTTTTCTTTTTTAGAAAGTATAGAATATAGATAATTTGAAATGGAAGTAAATTGATCCCCTTGTCCAAAAAAGATTTTCTCATTTTGACCTTTGAAAATTTTAAGGAAGAGTTATTTTTGTGTAGACTTTCCTAAATATCCTTAATGTGATAGATAGGTAAAAATATGATGTAATATAATGTGTAGATTATTAGTAAAAAAGTATGATGTTGTAAGTAGTTTAAGAATTAATATTCAAGCTTCCAAATTTTGTGGGACGAGTAAAAAAGAAAGGGAGAAACTTTTGGAATGGTGAAGTAGTATATTAGGAATACATGTTGACCAGTCATGGTTATGCATTTAAGTGCATTAAGTATTCAAGTCCGAAGATTACATGCACTTTATGCCAACGATCACATATTTGCCAACCATAAATAGAGAATGGAAAATCTCACTCAAACATCACAATTGATTCAAAGAAAAACCAATCAAACAAGATGGCCTTTTATCACAATCTAGCAACAATCTTGTTTGGCATCCTTCTTCTACCCCTCATCTTCTTGACCAATGTGCATGGAGATGTGATAGACGACGTCTGCGCGAAAGCGCAACAACACTCTCTGTGCCAGAAAGTCCTGAGAGGGGACCCGCGTTCGAAGAACGCGGACCTCAAAACCCTAGGGTCCATCGCGATCGACATCGCCACAAAACAAGCCAAGTCGGGACAGGGCCTTGTCCTGTCCCTGCTGAAGAAGGCCACTGACCCCAAACAGAAGACCGTGCTCTCCACGTGCGCGGAGAACTACGGGGACTCCATCGACAGTCTCGGGGAGTGCCCGGGTCTGCTGGGGTCAGGGGACTACGGAGGGGTGAACATCAAAGCGTCTGCCGCTTTCGATGATTTCGGCACTTGCGATGTCGGATTTTCTGATCTCTCCATACCCGAGCCTCCCGAACTCAAGGATTCCAGTTCTATGTCGCAGGGTGTTTGTAGTATTATTTTGGTTATTAGCAATCTTTTGTAGACGGTTGCAGCATCAGCATGAGATATTGGATATATATCTGCCATCCAATTAACTAAGTTCGATTATAATAATTATAGTAATTATTATTATTATTATTAATTATTATTATTATTATTATTATTATTATTATTATTATTATTATTATTATTATCAGGCTTTAGTTTTTGAGAAAAAGACCAAAGTAGGACTAAAACATTGAAAATATACCAAAATACGACTTACATGTTTTTATTCCCAAAATAGGACTTACAGTACCATACATGGTCATATACATTACCAAAAAAGTATAGTAATTTGCACATGTACACTACCACATTACAACAGGGCAAAGTCACATTACCACAATGCAAAGTCTTATTTCGGGGAAAAAAATATAAAAGTCTTATTTTGATACTTTTCTCTATGTTTTAGTCCTATTTAGGGTGATTTCTATTAGTTTTTAGAGAAGGCAAAAGCGTTGTCGTCTCGTAGGAGTGTAATCTTAAATAAAATTTTGCAACTTCATTTAATTGTTTTATTAGCCGTAGTCTCAATTATTCTAATAAATTCTTTATATATATGTGTGTGTGTTGAAGTACAGAAAAAAAAAATTACTCTCTATTTCTTAGAAGGGTTTCTATTTTGACTAATAGGTAAAATAAGAAGTGCACACTTGTAGTTGATTTTTCAATTTTGTCTTTTGTTTGATAGTAAAGTAAGATGTGATAAATAGATTATTAATGAGATATGATAGATTAGATAATAACAAAAGATAGGGAGAAAAATGAGTTGTTTTCACTTTTCAATTGCATAATTTCACCCATACTTCCAATGCAATATGTGGAGTGCAAGGGAATGATTAGTGTTGCGTAGCGTAACCGTCCAACCCAACCCTACCAAATCTTCCTTTAGTCTTATTCACTCCAATTCTAATGTTGATGCTATACTAAGGACTTTTTTTTAATATGATTTTTAAGGCTAGAAAAGTTTTCTAATATTTTTAAACTTTTTAGTTTCAGTTTTTTCTAAACTCTGTTTCTACCAATTCTTTCTATTTTCTTCTAATATCCAATTTTAGAATTCTAAAAAAAGTCCTAATCATCATTTTCCTTACTCGGTATATCAAATTAATTAATTGTTATCGAAAAAAATACCTCATCCTCTTTTGAAAAAGTTTACCCTTCTACTTTATACTCCGTATTATTTACCGAAAAGTGTAATAAAAAAAGTGTTTAAGATTTATTTAAAAGAGAAAAATGTTTTAATAAAATCTAACAAGGAATCTCACAACTCTAAAGTCTAAACACAATAACTTAGGGCTATAAAAGGCCTTCATGGCACCACCATTCCTCGGTCCAATAACCTTGCATTAAACCCAAATGGCTTTTCTCCTCCTTCATCATCTATCTATCTTCTTCTTCAACTTAGCTTTCTTCTACCTCGCAATCTCCCTCTTAACAAGCGTAAACTCCGATTTAGTCGACGACGTTTGCGCAAAGACGCAACGTCCCACGATATGCCTGCAGGCTCTGCGATCTGATCCTCGTACCACGGGAGCGGATCTCGAAACCCTGGGACTCATCTCCATAGACATTTCCACAAACGAGACGAAAACCGCGAAAGCGCTCGTTAGCGCGCTTCTCGCGGGAGCCAGAGACGACCCGAGGCTCGAAAACCGGTACAAGTCGTGCTTGGAGAACTACCAAGACTCCATTGAGAGCTTGGAGATTTGCCCAGACATGTTGAGGATGAGAGACTATGCAAGCTTGAATATTAGAGCTTCCGCGGCCATGGACGGGCCCGATACTTGCGACGACAATTTCGAAGAGCCTCCGGCGGAACCGGCGGAGCTCAGAGATGAGAGTGTGAAGGTGCAAACACTTTGTAGCATTGTTTGTGTTATCAGCAATGTGTTGTTAAAAGAGAGCCATAATAATAACATGACTCTCATGGAGACTTATAGTGCTATATAATAAGATTAATGACTTTCTCAATATAGGACCATATATTTTTATTTTCCAATGTAGGACTATTGGTCATTATTTATTAGTCATTATTCAACTAAATGTCCAGCATCGCTTGAACATTATTCTTCTCCCTAAACATTATTAAGTCTTATTTAGGGAATAAAAAAGTTTAAGTCCTACATTGGGAAATGACTTATGTTTTAGTCCTATTCGGTGCAAATTTCACATATTTGTAAGAGTATGAAAGGAATATATTGTTTCTTACTTTCACCCATCATCATCAATCTCCAGCCACACAAATATGGACTGTTTGGGCCTATATCCGACTAGGAAAACGTTTTGGGCTTTGGCCCAGTCCGAACAGCATTAAACCTATGAGCCCAACCCAGATGGACATGTTCTAACTTTTAACAACTTTCCATATTAACAGAATTTATAAGATTGGTAAGAAAAGATGGCTATCCCTATGTTAACGGAGAAATACTTGTTTCAAAGACTTTACCAAATCTTAAAATGTTTGTTACTAAATATACTTAATTACATTAAGTTTTTTCTAAATAATCACCGCACATTATTAACCTAAAATTGGCAAATTTTCATTTTTATGAATTTAATTTTTAAATATTTTCATTATTTAAGATTATTTTATTCTTTTAATGAGTTTATAAATCGGAAATGTGTGCATGACCATACAAATATATATTTAATTTCTGATTCAAAAATTCAAACTTTTTGGATATCTCGAAATATATATTTATCCAGACCGTACCCAAGATGCCAAGAGTTTGTTTGGCGAGTGCCTGAGATATATGTTTAGATATTTCACGATATCAGAGTGTTAATTGAAGTCTAAGCAAAGTTCAGATTTAATATCTTTGATATGATAATCCTCTAAAATTGTGGGTGTTCTTGAGATTTCAATATGAGCTTTTGATATCTTCACAATCGTCTGCCACCACCACTCCTCACTGGTGACTCACTTCAGATCTTTTCAAATACGGAGTATTATCATTTCATATTTCAAAATTCATATCATTGTTTTCACATTTTAGAACTCATAAAATATCAACTTTTAAAAACTCACCATATGTATAGGCTCTAAACCCAAACTCCAGATCTCAAATCTATATATTTTATTTATACTCTCACACACACACATTCAAATCTATAAAAGTTGGCTATATAGTAATCCAACCCTAGTGACAAATCATATATACATTCAAGATCCTCTCAAATGGCTAGTGCACAAAACCTTTCATCCTCTCTAATCCCATTATTATCATTACTCCTAGCCATCTCCTTATCAACCACCCATGCAGATCTAGTCGATGATGTCTGCTCAAAGACATCACGCCCCCTCACGTGCATCCAAGTTTTACGATCCGATCCCCGATCCAAAACCCCCGACCCTCTCGCGCTCGGATTCGTCGCGATTGACGTCGCGACGAACCAGGCCCGGTCGGGTAAAACCCTTCTTGAGTCTCTTCTCAAGGGGCCCACTACCGACCCGAAACTCAAAGCGATATATTCGTCGTGTTTGGAGAACTACGGAGATTCTCTTGACGACATAGGGAATCTTTCGGGCTTCTTGAGGTCCAAAGACTATGGGAGTGTCGGAGCTTACGCGTCTGCCGCTCTAAGTGGGCCCGACACTTGCGACGGGAGCTTTTCGACCCCTTCCGATGAGCCACTGCCACTGAAAGCTGCTAGTGACAAGCTGCAAGCTATTTGCGCGGCTGTCTTGTCTATTAACAATAAATTGCAGGGGCATTAATTGATTAGTACGTTAGAGAATGTTTTTTTTTCTCTCTTGGGAGTAACATTTTACTTCCTTTTTGTTCCAAAATAAGCTTTTAGTTTGAGTTTTATGCACAAAGTACCCAAATTTGGATCATAATATGAAAACAAAATGAGTTATAATGTAAAATTATTGTCAGTACTCCATGTTAGATTATTTTCTAAATGCAATTTTATAATATGATTTTTTAATATATATTTGTGTAAAACGTAGAAATTGATGGTCAGAACCGGAAATGTTATCGTCACTCTCTTTTAATTGCATGTTGTTGTAAAAATATTAATAGATGTAGAACTTGCAAAAGGATATTACAGACAACATGCAACAAATGATAAGTGACAATTACCAAAAAAATATGCATTTTCATATTTCACCTTCCAAAAAAATAGCCTCATTAGAGGAGCAAAATGAAAGTAGTTATGAGAAGAATGTCTTTCATTAGTATTTCTTGTTGAAAAATTGTGTAAATAAGTATAAGGGCCATAAAGTTGTAATTTGTTAACTTCTCCCATCCATCCAATTCTCCCAACAATTTGTGCTCTCACATCTTAACTATATATATTTTTCCACTCTCACATAAAATCCAATCCATATCAACAATTGTCCACAAACACTTCAATATATAAATACATTCATTCAACACTAATATATTCAATTTCAACCCCAACCCTTAGGCCACACTTATAAATGTGAAGGTTGCTTTGAATTGAAAAAAAAATGGCTCTTGTTCACAAGCCTTCATATACAATGGCTTCATCATTACTATTCGTAGCCACTCTTGTCGTCGCATTTTCACGCACGAATGCGACGACGGATTTGATCGGCAGCATTTGCCGAAAGGCACAGAGGCCCGCGACATGCACACGCGCGCTGAGGTCGGACCCGCGCACCAAATCCGCCAACTTGAGTACCCTCGCCGCCATCGCGATCGACGTGTCGACAAAGCACGCCAAAACCTCGCACGCCCTCGTGCAATCCCTCATCGCGGGAGCGAAGAACCCCGAGTCCAAATCGAGGTACTCGTCGTGCTTGGATAACTACCGGGACTCGATCGACTCGCTCCAGCGTTGCCTCGATTTCTTGAAGAATAAGGACTACGGGAGCCTGGACTCTTACGCTTCCGGGGCTTTGGATTTCCCGGAAACTTGCGACAACGACTTCGAGGAAGCCGCTGCTCGCGAGTCCGGGAAACTCAAAGCCGCGAGCGTGAAGCTTCAAGATCTTTGTGACGTTATATTGATTATTAGCAGCAAGTTAAGCGGACGAGTGGTGGAGTAATTATATATAGGCGTGTATATACATGTACTTCAATTTTTTGTGCTTTTGCTTTTGAGTACCAATTCAATGTTTAATTTGGAGTAGCTATGCAGGAAATGGGGATTTCAAATAACTAACAACATGTTTGGGAATTCAAATTTGGATTTCAAATCCAGATTTGGCTCAAATTCCATACTTGGGAAATCTTAAAAATTTGGATTTGAATTTGAGGCAAGTTCTTCAAATTCATCACAAAGTTCAATTGCAAATTCATATGTCCCCTACTTATTTGAAATTCAAGAATTCAAATTTTGAAATTGAAATGCAAGAACTGAAATGAAACGTTAATTCCCAAACACTACCTTGATGATGATGGTGATGATGATGATAAATAACAAATAACAACAAAACACTTCAAAAAATAAATATCAACATTCATTCAAAATTAATATTATCAAATAGGACATTTTGTAATCTACATTCATTACAAAATGTAGTTTTTACGGGGGAAACGGGAGACATATACGAAACGAAAGCTATGTTACTCAAGATGTACTTATTCATATAGATAGAGATTGTGCACGTACAGATCTTGGAATGGTGCAAACATATAGCACCATTGAACCAAAACAAATGCTTGATGAGTTCATTGCGAGAACAATACAAATTTCAAAGCTGATAAATGACACAAGCAATCGAACATTAACACTCACCTTTGAAGAGTGAAGTTAAAGCGCGAGTTTTGCAGCAGCAGGCTTGTAATCAACGACGAGGACTTTCTCGAGTTGAGGGAGGAGTTTGTTTGCAAATTCGACATGAAGTGGATGAGCAATGTACTCTGCAACACCTTGGGTGCTCTCAAATGTCGATTCGAACACGTGGGTGAACCCTTGGTTTAGGTTCTCTATGCTCACATCTTTGCCCCTGCAACAATAAGTGCCCTTGTTGCTTTTTTGAGAGGAAGATACTCCTCCCATTGTCAACTTATTTTGGGATTGAATTGAACTGAACAGTACTGAAATTAAATCGCCCAATTAGTGGGTGTTTGATTTGGTTTGGTTACTGGTATTAGGATCTCCATGCTTTCATGTCAAGATTCAAATCTGCAATTCTTTCTGATTTTTCAGATGAATTCATCAAACAATAAGATGAATCTTGGGCCGAAATCAAATCGATTAACACCCAAATCTCCCAACTTCATAACATCAAAGTCGGTAGAAGCAAATATTATACCAAAATGAAGAATATAAACAAATCATTTCTTCACAAACTTGAAGGGAGAAAAAAAAACGGGGGGGGGGGGGTGATTATATGAACAAAACATTTCTTCTCCATTCTTTTCCCAGAGCATCAAAATTAAATCTTTTTATCAATTCATTAAAATAAAGCAAAAAATAAAGAGATTTGGGAAATACAGAGCTAGAAATACCAGGTGAAAGATTTCATGGGTTGGATGTGATTGACGAGATTGGCATAGCCTTGGATGAGGTGGTCGATCTCTTCTTGGGAGATCCCCTCTTTGAACTTGCCCAGCAGTATGTGCTTCACTACTCCTCCCGATGATGATGCGGCGGCGCCGCCCTCCTCCGCCATCACACTTCCCTCCATCCTGAAGAAGGTGCCAGCCGGCAAAAGCCAGTCACTAAAATAGTAGTCAGCTTAGGCTGGACGGGCCGGGTTCAGGCTGCCCGAATAGTTTTTGACCGAGCTCGAATTTTATGCTTAAAAGTCCATATACTAACCCAACCCGAATGAATATTAATCTTTATTATTGGTATAATGCCATAATTATAATAAAGTAATAACAACAACATCAATATTAATAATAATAAAATCAACAATATCATTTCAAATTATTATAAACACACGCATATACTTCTTTGGAGAAAAATAGAAATTATAAGTATATTTAATAAAATGAATACATTTTTATTATTTTTTATTATTTACTTTGTATAACACATTGATAATGTTATTCAAACTTTTTCTTACCGCTTTTTTTTACAGTTTTGAATACACGTTTGTAACTTTGTCTATATGTTTTCTTTCTACTGTTCATTTTGCTGCTAGACTCTTTTTTTGTTTTGAGTTTTGGATGTGTATGCTTTTTTTTATCGGTCTTTTAGCTTTTATTCTTTTTTATTGTAATTTCTGCTACTTTTGAATTGTTTTTTAGGAGCTCTTGAATTGTTTTGAAGTATTTAGAATCAACAAGGATTTGGTTGAAGAGGATGAAGTTCAGTTCCAAATGTGTTTCATAAAATGCCTAAATGAGTGAACGACAACAAGATTTTTTAAAATCCTGACAAATCTTAGTAATAGAATACACTAAAATCAATCCAAATTGAACATTTCCCCTAAATCTACTTAAATGTCAAATTTTATGTCTTCTAAATTTATTTTATTTATAACTTGGTAAAAAAACTTACACAAGAAATATTATGTTAAAATTTATACCAAAAGAAACATGCTTAAAAAGGTAATTTCTCATCCCACCCCTCAAACAAGAGCTTTTAGTGTGGCTGGTCAAACATGTGCTCTCGATTACATTTAGTCTTGTTCTCTTCACCTGATCTGAATGCTTCTAATTTGATTGCAATAAGTTATTATCTGGATGTACTTATATTTAAAGTTATTTCCGGTCTGATCTGATTCTCTGGTCTGAACTGAACTGATTCTATTAAAAAACTCCATCTGTCCATTAATAAAAGAGAATAGACTGTTAATTTCACTCAAATTTAACCTAATTATGTTCAATTTCTTCCAATTTCAACACAATTTAACCAAATTATATGCAATTTTATAAAATGTCACTAAATTTTTACTTATTCGCATTTAATCTAAACAACTCAAACAATCTTTGGACATAAAATTGAATGAAATTTACTAATTAATTTTAATCTCATTAGATTGAATTATATTTGAATGGAACAGAACATTATTCCATTTTATTTGAACTCATATTTATTGTATTGCATCTAGCTGAATTTAATTTTAAGGTTAAATATATTTTTAGTCTCTGTAAAATATTTTTTGTTTTTGGTTATTGTAAAATATTTTTTGTTTAAATAATCATCCTTACAAAAGATTTTATTTTGAAAATGATCTTTATAAGTAATTAAGACTTTTAATTTGGTGTAAGATCACATTTATTTCGTAATCAATAGCTTAGTTTTACATTTAAAGTTACTTCTGACACAATTCTCATGCCCTTAATTATGTTCTTTATCTACTTACATCTTCGATTCCCAAATTTTTATTATATTATATTCCTAAAAAAATTTGAGAATTAAAAATGTACTCCGTATTATAAATAAGTACACAATTTAGGGCTTGAAATTTGTATTGGACATAATTAGAAATGAAAGGCTAAAAGTATGAAATAAATGTGTCATTTCATCTAATTAGAATTGCTAAATATGTTTAAAGATTAATTTCAAAACACAATTTTTTGTAAAATTGATTTTAACAAAAAAATATTTTATAGAGACCAAAAACAAAACTCCTCTATTTTATATGGACTAAAAATATATTTAAACGTAACTTCTTTTTATTTGTGCGTCCTTATTAATTATTTTATAAAATAAAATATTTTGTCATCTCTTATTTTATTAAACTTCTGATTTATTTTTTAAATATACAAAACTTTAAATAAAATAAACCGAGAACTTTAGATTTTATTTCGTATTGTGCAAAGCCTAATTCTTTTTTGGGGTAATGGGATGGGTGCCCCCGTGGTTTACAAAAAGAGCGCTAAAAACCCCTCTAGTTTCAAAAGTTATTTGTAAAACCCTTGTGATTTTAAATTGTGCACCATCTTGCCTATTTTTAGATATAAAATGACATTTCTGCTCTTTATTTTTGTCTACCTTCAAGTTTCACTCTTTTATTTCCATTTTTTTGTTATACAAATAAATAAATAAAATATATGCCCCATTCCTCAAATTAAAATTTTTCATTTATTTAATTTTCAAAAAAAAAATAATATTTTTTAGAAAATGTTACAAAAGAAAATGAAAAATTAAAAAATGAAATAAAATACACCTTTTCATTATAAGTAAAAGTAAAATAAATAAAATAAGCAATTAGATAACATATACTCACTTTGTCTCTAATTAAAAATTCTAACTTATTTGTTATTTAAAAGTAAACTAGTTTTCAAATGACTTTAAAAAATGAAGAACAAAAAGATAAAATAAAATACGGAGTTAAAGAAAAAGATTGTTTTCATATTTTTCTTTCTTTTCATTACCTTTTTTAGTTATTATTTTTACTTTATACATAATATTTTATTTTTCATTTTCTTTTGTAACATTCTCCAAAAAAATTCTCTTTCCCAAAAATACATTATGGAAAATTTTAATTTGATATGAGAAGCGTATATTTTATTTTATATATTTGTATAATGGAGGAAAATAAAATAGGGAAAATTCAAGATCGAGGAAAAGAAAGGGCATAAATGTCATTTTTGCTTTAAAAATAAGTAAGGGGGCATATGTGTTCTATTTAGAAAGCATAAGGACTTTACAAATTATTTTTAAAAACAGAGGGGACTTTGACGCCTTTTTTGTAAACCACGAAGGCACAGATGCTATTTTTCCCATTCTTTTTTAAAGGGATGAAGTTAGTGAGACATGATGACAATTGGCATGCAATTTGACTTGGTGTTTCCTTTGCCGGAGTAGATATTTAGGCATTTAGCAGATGTTCATGTAACGAATGGAACATTTTGAGGAGAAATTCGTTTGGTACAACAAAAGTTGTACCCTCATGTTGCATTCTGTTCGCCTGATCTGATATGATTTTTTGAAGATCTGATCTGATCTTATCTGGTCTGAACTGCTCTGATCAAATCTGATTACAATTATAGTTAAAGTTGTTTCTGATCTGATCTGGTCTAATTTGATTATAACAAGAATAAGTGATACACAAAAAAAAATTGAACACAACGCTGCCTAACACGCAACAAGATTCTTGTTTTCATAAAATGTACTACTACGTGTATTATACTCAAAATATAAGTTGGGGTTTGAAAACAAAACAAAGACCATTAACAAGAGATACTGATTCAGCTTAGGAAATACAAAAATAAGGGAGAGCACAAAGAGAAATAGCAGTAAACCAGCAATGTACATATTCATACGAAGTGTGGAATGGTACCAGTCTAGAAGGCTGATTTAGCTTTCTCCTTTGTTTGACTTTTTGTTTTTCTTTTGTTTTTGCTTCAGTTGAGTAAGACCTGCAGATGTGATTTTCACGTTACCGATAATTGCAGCTACAAGCTCCGGATCGGTGCATGCCTTCATCAATTCCTTTTCTCTGGTTGTGGCCTCCGGCATATGACTAAACAAATTCATCGCTGTCTTGGCCGCTGCCAACATATACCCAAAAGAAAGTTGTCCACGGACAAGTTTAATTTACAATTTGTAAAAAAAAGAAGAGCAAACCAACACACAAATAAAAGAACATTGTTTGATCAATTTACAACTGTTAAAGTTGGCACGAGTCATGTGATGGTTCAAGGAAGAAACCCATTCATAATTGTGTGATGTTAGGCAAACCTTACCTTTCATATTTGTAAGAGGTTGCTTCCAAGACTCAAACTCGTGAGTCGTGAGTTCGTGACCTCAATGTCACAACACAACACCTCAATGGGAACGGTAAGGCTCCATCTCATTGAATCACACAAAAATTTCTATGCATGTTGGTTTAACTGGGTTTGTCATTTTTTCTTCGCAATTTTTTTTAGCATACAGCATGATATATTCATCAACTTTGCTTGAAGAAACCAAACTGTTTTTTTGGTACAAAGTGTTTGAAACAAGACTTTTTTGTCTTTTAGGGATGAAGGGAGTATAAATTTGAAATAATAAATACCTTTTCCTTTCTTAACGGAACCAGGAACTAACTTGACACGGTATTTGTATGACTGAAGGGCATTGTAAGGACCACAGATGGGAACTGCATACAGGAGAATATCATCTAACAATGGATTGCCAGTCAGATAGTCCACGTCATTGAGTTTCTCTTTCTCCTCTTCACCAATCTCATGTATATCATCCTCCTCCATCACTATATTCTCTCTCTTCTCGGCATTATTCTTTCGACCACCAACCTCAGACTGACCGTCCCCTCCATTTGCAGTACTTGGTGCAGATGCTTCATCTGGACGCTCTTTACAGTCCTTGGACAAATGCCCAGCCTTCTTACACTTGTAACAGATTTTCGGAGCATCAGTGGGCTGCTTTGGTTTTGTTCCAACTTCGTTTACTGCTTTATCATCCTCTGGTTGCTTTTCACTCTTTTCGGTTTTCCCAGCAGGCTGAAGCATCAGAATGGTTAAGACTCTGTTTGGAGTAATTTGTGCTATAAGTGCTTTTTAATAAATTCTTTCTCGTGTTATCACTAAAGTGTTTTTCTTTCAAAAAACTTCAATTCAGTGCTTTCCTAAATGAGCACAAAATAGTTAAGTATTATTTAATATTAGAAATGCTTATGCGGTTTTATACTTATCTGCCAAATGCTTTTTTCAAAGTCATTGTCTTCCTATAAAATAACACCTACAGACTGTTAACTACCTTGAAGAGTTTAGAAAATGAAAACAAAAAACCTATACTTTTTATGTTTTGGAAATTTAGAAAACAGATAATGTAAAACATGTAAAGCAGTTTTTTAAATTTAGGAAATAAAAAAAATGTTCCAAACTCACTAGAAAACCATACCTTTAGAAGTACAGAACAAATACAATAGTTACAGCCAAACATAAGATTGAAAAACAGATGACAAATACAATACTTACAGCCAAGAGAGCCATCCGAATGCTCCGTTCCTCGTCATCTTGATCAGCATATTTCTCTTTTATCTTCTTGAGTTTACTCTTTTGCCCACGGCTGAGCTTTACACATGGAGGCTTTGTAGGGTTAGCATGTTTTTCATTTTTTGTGCCAACCTGCTCTTCTGCCTCTTTCCCACCACACTCAGCAAGTTCACCCTCACTGCTCTCTTTTTGTTCTTTCTTCAACTTTCTTCTTTCGAATTTTGAAACATAGGGTTTATCCCTCAGTGTGACCTTTTTCTCTACATCATTTTGTTTATTTCTTGATTCTGAGGAAGGGAAGCCATGGTGTTTAGATGAAGCAGAACCAAGCTCAAGAGCTCTATCAATCAGATCCTCCAGCTGTGGAGCATGTGGTGTAACTGAAGCAACAGTTTTTCCAGCACAATCAGAAACCTCAGTAGAGACACTCAGGCTATTATCAAAGTGAGTTTCAGAAGGCAACCCTTCTAAAGTTGTTTTATTTTGGGACAAATCCAATGTATCTATTGGATCTACTGTATGTTTTTCAACCTCCTCATCAGATTCGGTATCAGGATTTTCTTGGGAAGGTTCGTCTTTCTCAGCATCAATGGTTCCTTCATCTTCGCCTCTTACCCTTCTTTCATTCAAATGAGACCCTAAAGAACTCTCTTCCAAGCGAAATAGTATTCCAAATCCCATAACAAGAGGGTGCGGAGGAAGGAAATTTTTTTTGCCACGGATCATGAAACTTCCAACCGTGAGATATTCTCCCGTAGGAGCAGTTTTACTCACTTGATGAGGATAGACCCACCAAGCACTAGTTACCATTTTTGAGTCCCATGCCTGGCTGTGGCAAACCTGTACAGCAATCATATTCCAGTGATGATTGTTAAAGAGAGACCAGGGGGTAAAGGGCAGCAAAGTTAGGGGAGGAAAGGAAAATTCAAAAACGTACAGTAAAGCATCCTGTTTGGTTCAAAGTGAGAGGAGGTATTGGAAAGTCAGGCTTGTGATTCTTGATCACTGTACTGGATGCGCCATGAAGATCAGCATGCACATACCTACATAATGGAAAATCATCAATCTCAGTATAATTAAAAGGGTGAATAAGCTTTCTAAGATTCAGAATATTCATTAGTAAATATGATAATGATTATGCCTTGCCTTTTTTTTAAATTCAGACTCAGAATAACAGAATTTCGGATTTATCTTAAAAATGAAAAAGCTGATTGCCGATGCTGATAAAAGAATCGTTATTGACAATGTTTTAGCATCCGGTAAATCCGGTAAATAATGGGAGTAAATCAAAATGGAACATCAAACTTCCTTTGCTTACTTTCTATGAAGTTTTAGGTAGTACAGCAGGAATGCATCAACAGGTCTAATGGAAACATCTGTTCTTTACGGGGAAAGCACAATGTACATCTGGACCCCAGACCCCAAGTCCCCAACAAAGTTGGGATTATACTGGGTTTTGTTTTTTATTCTAAAATGATGATCAGATGACTCAATAAATATAAAGAATTTACGTTCTTTCCTTTTTATATCACCTATACTGTTTCTTTAGAAGTTTCAAGGTAATTGGCCGCTGGCACATATTCCACTGGGTTATTGAAATTCTCATAGCATTATTTCATAGGAGTATAATATATTGGGACTGTTGAAAGTTTAATGGAAGGAAAATTTAACTTACAAGTCTCCCTTAGACATGTAGCGCTTGACAATCATTTCATTCTGGTGTGCATCACGGCCACTTATAACCAAATAATTCTCACTGCTAACGAACCAATTAAATTTTTCAAACCAATGAACTTTGCGGATATGTGAAATAGCAGCAACAGTTTTTTCCTGCAAGAAAGAGGCGGATCAATCTTAGAATAGAAGAAAGATAAACACTTAGCTTTAGTTGATTACTTTGAGTGTCCAATAAAAATATTGTTTCTTTGTCTTTTCTTGGGTTAATGAAAGCAGTGGCAGATACTAGCTTGTCAAACCTGGACACTCATCAACCATTGGAAGAGATTCAATAAGCCATTCCTACTCAAGTGGGAACCTAATCCATCACCAAGTATATTCTAGCATTAAACAAGGTTCATGTCTATGTGACTTAAAATGATGCCCTAACAGAACACCCAGCAAAAGAAAATTGCTAGTGTGCAATTACGACCTGAGTTTTTAAGCAGGTCGAACTCAACCAAAATGGGAAAAAACTAAGCTCGCAAATCCATCGGTCAGGTTGGTTTCAGGTTTGGTCGCTTCGTGTTCGGGTTACATTGGGTTTGGGTAAGATTTGGTTCAGGATGAGAACTACATGTTCATGATCAGTGTCATCCGGTTCGGGTCGACCCAACGGGTTATGAGACTTATTTTTAGTATATTTAAATTCATACTAGCACTTGCATTCTGCACTAAAATAATAAGAAAATATCAAAATATGTATATTAAACCTCTTAGAATATTTTATTTTGAATTTTTAATTACTTTAGATATATTTAAAATATTATGAATAATATAAAAATTAAATATGTACCACTTTTGAAAAATGTAATATAACTATATGATATCATTAAAAACTTGTTTGAAAATATACGTTTATCGGATTTTACCCATTTTTAGCATACCATTTTGGGTTCGGTCATCTTTGGGTTCGGTCAACAAAACCTTTGTTCAAAACCCAGTATTTTTGGGTCGGGTTTCGGGTCAAAAACTAGTCGGATCAATTTTCCAGGTATAGGAAAAGGTGTGCACTCACCCATCAAAGAAACAGATAGGCCTTGTTTGGGAACAATGTCTTCGGTTAGCGTTAGAATTTTGGATAAAATTTTAGTGTAGATTAATTCTGAAAACACTAACACTTAAGGCTACCGTCAGATAACCTTTTCAAAACGCTAACGGTAACCTCTAATGTTGATGTCAAATGAGGACATAGTCACATAGACACATACCAAGAATCACAGCAACATAGCCGCTGGAGAGACTACCAACAAAATATTACATGCAATGAAAGCTTACATCATAAATCTTTTGCGAAACAAAATTCAAGGCTTTAAATCCCGAAACTAATGAAGAAAGCCAAAGTTGTTGAAATGAAAACCCCTTCACTGAATGAATATGGGCAACAATCTAATAATTCTAACAACCTCCTGCATCAGTAAAATGCAGTTCGTGACAAAAAACATTTATTTAGGAGAGTGCATTTAATGCAATCTAGATACTTAAGTGAGAGGGAATAATTTCAAGAATGCCCCATCATAATTCTTTTACAGCTTTATTTGTATTACTAGAAAATTGTTTGACGTTGCTGACACTTAATATTGCAAGTCACGTGGTTTTTGTTGGTGGACAAACAGAGTGGATTTAGTAGAATTGCTTTTAGCAGAGCTACTTAACCTACTTTTATCAAAAGATATTCTTCGTAAAACTACTTTTAACAAATGCATGTCCAATTGAAACAAATATATTTAGCTACCTGAGATAACTGCTGCCGTGTCTTCCTCTCGGCAGCTTTGAACGCTTTAGCATATGAAGTAACAGTTTTCTCTTGTTTATTCTCTTGTTTTTTTTTCATTTCATACCATCTCCTAGCATTTGCATGAGCTGAAAGTGACAGATCAACTTCTACCTAGACAATGAAGCACATTAACACAACAATTGATTAAGACTCTTGAAAACATATTTACATCTCCCATTTAAGCCTCCAAACATACTACATATTCTGCCACATAACGCCAGTATTCTCAAATTGATTAAGACTCTTGAAAATCCTAGACAGATCTAATCAAATAAAAGATGAACTGATTTCAGCTGAAAATAAGAAAACACAAACAAGTCATTCTTAAAACATAAAAGGAAGCATTTGAAAAAAAAGGTTCAATACAGCCATACTTTATCCACAGGCTGCGTCTTTTCTCTATCATCCATTTCATCTAGATTGTTGCTTAGAAGTAAAGTCATACAATTTCTTTCAAGATGCAGCTTGTCAATAAGCCCTGCAACTGGATTCCCGGATTTCTTCTCCTCTTTCACCATACTAACTAGATCTTCCCAACTCATTCCTTTTGCAAGTGCAACACGGACTGCTAAAATGGCAGCATCAACATCTTCCAAGTTATATTCTATCAGTTCTGCCATTTTAACACAACGATCAACTTCATTCTTTAGTGATAAAACACGGTTTTCCTGCAATATGTAAAAAAAAAAGTTTACTGACCAAGGTAGCATTAATAGTAAATATCGGCATGTTCCAGTTTACAATACTAAAAACATAAAATGTTTAAAATACTATACTGGCTTGCATCATTGTAAGAATCATCATGTACGATACTGCTATATATCCTGTTCTACCAACTTCATTCATGTGGAATACTCCCTCCGTCCCGCTATATTCGTCCACTTTTGACTTTTGGAACTGTTCATCTAAGCACTTTGACTCATCAAATTCTCTCAATGTGTAAGCCTAAATATAGTCATGCGTGATCTTGTTTGATTTGTCTTAACATATAGATTATTAATATATAATTTCTATAATTTTTTAATATACAAATTACAAGATAAAATGGATTAAAGAAGTGTATTGGATGGTGTGCAAAAATGAAAGTGGACAAATATAGTGGGACGGAGGAAGTATATCTGAACACTTTCATTTCTTCAAATTGCTTTGAAATTTACAAGCATCAAATAACTAAATGTGCAGGACCTGGTCAGTGCGGATGTTACTAAGCTTCTGCATAGCAGAGCTTTCTTTGGCTTTTATTTGTTGCTCAACACGTTGACTTTCAATTTTAGTATAAAACTCATCTAATGCAGCATCAAATGTGTCAAACTTTACAAAGGTCCTTGACTTAAACTGGTTCAGTAATAGTGGGCAGAATTCATCATATATCTGCAGAAGAAAAGGTATAAATGTATATCTCACTATCGCAATCAAGACACAAAAAAGTTCAGAAGGATACATCATACATGTGTGCACTTCAGAATACAACTATTGAAAATAAAGAACAACCTTTTCAGAATCTTCAGTTTCGGATGGGTTGTCTTTTTTACTTGTTTTTTGTTGCATCAGAATGTAACCTTCAGGAACATTTTCACCAGATATAATGTCTTCCAGCCAGTCCTCAAACTTTCTGACAGCGGCCATCAGAGAATCAAGAGTACCATGTTCTAATTTTAAACTGTTCCCAACTTTTATATTTGGAATTAAACCAGCATCTAGAATAATATGTTCAGAAAGTGCCGGTCCATAGCCCAATGCCTCCCCAAGGACAGACTTCAAAGTTGCCTGCTTGGCACGGCTCCGATCTTTTTTTGTATTTTCAGATACCTTTTTTCCTTTTCCTTCATCTCCTTGATGTGCATCAGAGTTATCAATTCCATGCTCAGTATTTTGTATGGATTCTTGTTCAGTAGACACTGCAGAAAATTGCAAGGCAGTCTGTAACTTTTCACTGGTAGTTCTGTTAAAACTACGGCATATTTCAACTGGATAGCTGTGTCGAGACATGATGGCTAAGCCTTTGTCATCATCTCTGCAAAATGTGAGACTCAATAACTTAATTTCTTTTATTAGAAATCCTGATACAGCAATCAGAAATAGTTACTACTCGTATTATATACTACGTTATTGCCTTTATGAAAGAGTCATTTTCACAAAGTTTTAGCTTCATGTAAATGATAAACTAAATCAAACTAGCTCGTTAAACCTCACTTGCTTCTTACTTTTTATGAATTTTTGGGCAATAAATGCAGCAATGCATCAAGGGCCTAACAGACACAACCTCTGTTATGGGGTAAGGTTGAATACTTCTTGATCCTTAGACCCCAACTAAGTTGGATTATACTAGACTAACACTTCTGAGGAGGTCATGTAGGCCTATAAGGATGATAGAGGGTGGAGCCTAAATTAAGCATTTAAAGATTATTTTGGAAAAAATAAAAAATCTAATCAGGATATCTTGTAAAGATACAGCCTTGTAACGACAAAGCAAGAGAGGAAGATAAGATAGATGGATCAGTTGCAAATGAAAATAATCACTTATCATCTAGAAAGGGTTGAAAGATCCTGCATATAAGCATGTGTCAAAAACTCTATATGCAAAATAGTTCTGATAAGTGCAAAAGAAGAAAGGATTCATCATCGTCATTGTGGTCTTCACCTTGATCGCAACTAAGTTGGGGTCGGTGGCATTAAGCCATTAATATATAGTGCCAGTTAATTGTAAAAAATATATTAATTATAAAGCCATGCAAAGGAAAAGATTGGTTAAATAAATGTACCTGTGTGAACGAAGAAGTGTCAATACCATGAAATCAGAATCAGTAAGAATGATATTTCCTTGAGCATATAGCTCTAATATTACATAAAAAGCATTAGACCCCAGTCCAAACTGAAAGAGGATTATCTGTGAAAGAAATGACAAGCTCATATCAATTAGAACCATTAAAATACACAGACAAATTGAAAGTCACAAACAAAACAGCGTACCCTATCATAACCAAGTTGCCGCACATCCTCAAGCCTTTTTGGTCTTATATGCTTCCTCAATTTAAGTGTAAACCCAGAAGGAGTGTTATTTTTGTCTCTACAATAATAAAGAACACCGCCAACATCATGGAGTGATGGTAACCAGTAGCAAAGTAAGGACCTAGGACCTCCCAAGTTGGGTGGATACCTTAGATATTATTCTATTTTAAGAATGTTTTGAAGGCATAGCAATAAAATAAAATAAATGAAATTTGATCTATATGAAATGAAAATATATTTTCCATTTATTTTCTTTTGTATAACTTTTTTACTTCTTCTGACCCAGTAATTTTGCCCCTTTTTACCTTTTTGACCGTCCCATTTTTGTTTCTCATACCACATTTGGTCATATTTGTGTCGTCCACATTCATTCTTACTTTATCTACTTTTTAAGATCAATATCAACCAGACAACCTTACTTTTCTTAATTTTTCTGTCACTCCCTCATGTGCCAAAAATAGTGGGATGGAGGGAGTATGGTTTATCTGTAGATGAATGAGTTGAGTTAGGTGATCTCACCAACATTTTCCAAGGATGGTTAAGTTAATAGAGATTAAATGAGCTGGATACAAAATAACAAAGCTCAAAATACTTTGAAAATAATGAAATTACATAAATGAGTTGGCTGCAATGAAGTCCCTGTTGAAGTTTAGAAATGTTTATGGAGAGCTAGGGAGGCATTGGGTTGTGTCTTCTCACCCTCAACTACTCTAACAATGGAATCTAGATTTTATATTCAAAGCACCAAAAGAACTAAATGCTTCTAGTCTTCTACACAAAGAAAACAGCCATGAACACATGTTTCTATATCTAGACATAGGTCTTCCTCTCCCAATCTATATAGTTCTCCTATTTATTTTCGCCACTCGAAGTCATATACATCACCTAGGATCATATGTGAGTTTCCACTAAACAACATAACTAAAATACAACATTAAGAAGCCAAAACCAAACAGCATGTGGGGAGAAGGGGAATCAGCGGGTTCATACCGGAGATAAGCAGTGGTGTGCAATCTAACCCCACTTTCCATCAACAACAATACCTTTTCACTCTCCCCAGATTCCGTCATTCCACTACTGTTAGATAGCTTAAACACATAGGTCTGCAAGTGAAAGATGCTCAATAGTCTGCAACACTAGTACATATACAGCTCAATATTTCTATAAAAAAAATAGGAATGGGGGATTGAAACGAGGAGAATACCTTGGGAGAGATATCATAGACATTAGAACATCGCATTCCGATTAATCGGCGCAAGCATTTGACCTCGGCGGCCACGTCGGCCGTGTTCATTCTCACCTTCACCATTTTTTTACAATATCTCTTCTTCTTCTTCGATAGACTATTAATACAGCTCCGATTGGATTGTGTCTATTTATTCATGGAGGGATGAAGACGCAGGGAATAGAGAAGGAACTTCCGCTGCCAGAATCTATCTTCTCAGTTATCGTCCGCGGTCAAAAGAATCCCCGGAAACCAGAAGCCACCGATCGAAGGGATACAAAACAAGGGATTGGGACCTTGGGGGTGAGGAGGGGGGTTAATTTTGTATTTTTATTTTAGATAGGGCCAAAATCAATTTTTAAAAAAAAACATGTTAAAAAATTATGTTGTTCATTTCTGTTGCAGTGTCACAATATCAATATACATTTCGAGTGAAGTTACAATGTTAAGATAATCCCGCATAATGAAAAATATGACATTGGATAATATCAAACATGTAATGCATATTTAAAAAGAGTAATAAAATATCAAAAATCAATTACGCTTGTCAACATAATATATAATGTCATGTTCGCATCACGAAGTGATTAACTAATTTACAATGCCGCCTATAAAAAATATAGCCAACTTTCAATCGATTCAAATTAAACATATAAGGAATATGATACAACAATGAATTTTTGCAAGGCAAAAAATATTGTTGAGCTTATTAATTTTCAATTTAGCAAAAAAGAAAGAAAACAAAAAAGTAGAGTTTCAACTTTAAATACAAAAAGAGAATTTTAAAATAATACTCTAATTGTGAAGCACAACTGTTAGCTATGTGAACATTTGTAGATGACTTCGATTTTATATTTAATTTAAATTTAATTTAAATTCGGGTAAAAATGTAGTATGCTTATTCACTGGATAAAGTGTGTGTTTTGCTCTCCAACTACGATGGCAATTACAAGGGAAAGTGATTGCGTTCCATTCGCTTGATCTATTCTGATCTGATCTGATATGATTTGATTTGATCTAATCTGATATGGTCTGCTCTAAACTGAGAGATCTGATCTGATATAAATTTGATTCAAACCAAACTTAAAATTATTACTATAGTTTAATAACTTTTAAAATTATAACGATCATTCATATTATTATACAATTAATAAATTTTATTCTAGAATTATTAGATTTATGAAGTCAAAACAATATATTCATCTGTACATTAGAATAAAAATCATTGCCGATGACCAATAATTAAAAAATTTAATAATTCACTTTTTATATTCAATCTAGAGAGAGAGATTATTATTATTTAAATGTTCAATCATTAGAAATATGAATGTTATGTTGCAAAATAGTATATTTTTCCACATCTTACATAATAAATTCATACTACAAAATATGAAAATAAATTGTTTATGCTACAAAAAAAATCTAAATTTAAAACAAAAAATTAGAAATTCATGTGCACAATTGTCACAAGCACTACCTTCGAATTCTTGTTGCACGATACCTTATGGTGGGTGTAAAAATCAAAATCTTGGTTCAAACAAGCTATGACTCGATACGATTGTGTCATGAGCATTTACAACAACAACAACAATAACAATATACCAGGGTAGGTGTTATCATTTTTCATGACTAGACATGTTCATAATAGGGGTGTATTCAATCAGGATTCCACCAGATTTTTTTGTATTCTGAAAATCTGTGGATATTCAATTACGATTTAAAAAAATCATTTAAAATATTGATGTATTCAATTAAGACTGTTAAAAATACATCTAAATCTTGATGTATTCAATTAAGACTTTTAAAAATCCATCTAAATTTGATGGTATTAAAAATTCAATAGATTTTCAAAGAATTCCTTTGAATATGGATTGTGCTGGATTCTACCATGGTTAGTATAAATAAAAATCCATTTACAAATCTCTTCTCAAAACCTGAGATTTTGTCATCCCCAAGCGTCCGTAAGAACTTTTTCACCGTTCATCTTTCGCAGTCCACTTCCTTAGTTGGTTCTATCTTCGCAACTTTTTTTGGATGATCTTCGCACATTTTTTAATCAAAACCATATCATCAGAAGTCGACTCATATTATTGCCGGCAAATTTTGACCGCAGATTTTGAGAAATCCATTCACAAACCATATTAATGTTGGAAGAGAACGTAATTTTGACCACAGATTTTGAGGAATGCTCACTCCAATCGCCAGCTAGGGTTTTTATACTTCCAGATGAGATTCGACAATATAGCCCATAGATTTTGTCTCCAGTAGTATGAGACATGCTTGCTCCAATCGGCGAAACCATGAATTTATTTTCAATATGGGATGCATTCAATATTGGGAGTATAAAAAAGAATTACAGCAAAAGATAAATCCGAATAATGTAAGAATATTACAGTTTATGGATTTTTTTAGAATCTGAACTAATCTGATAATGAAATACATTAAAATTTATCTAATTCTATGTAGAATTAAAACAATAATAGATTTTTCATAATCCATGAATTATAAAAAATCTGACATAATCTTTAGAAATCTAAATTGAATACACCCTCCTCCCCCTTATTTTTCTTATTCTTATTAAAATCAGATAAGACCAGACCAGACCAGATCAAATTAGATCGAATCAGATCAGATCAAATCGAAACAGATTAGATCAGATCCAATCAGATTAGCTCAGATCAGATCCAATCAGATCAGATCAGATTAGATCAGATCCCATCAAGAATTATTATTAGTATTATTAGTAGAAATGAAAAAGAATAAACTTTAGAAATAAGTTAAATAGAAAACTAAGAAAGTAATCCTTAATTATTAGACGTCGGAAAAATTATTTTTAAAATAGATTGACAATGTCAATCTAATTCTATTTTTAAAAAATATTTTTATCTACCTGTAATTTGAGTTTCTAAACTTTTGATCTTTTATAATGATGAGATATTTTAATAAAAATATTATCTCTTATCTATATTGATTATCTAAATTTAATTACTTTTTAATGTATATATAAATTAAATATTTATTCTAATATATGTATCAACTAATTATTAAAATACTAAATCAATATTTTTATTTCATAAAAAATGATCATAAAATAAAAAATATTAGAGTAAATTCTATAAAAGGTCCTGAGTTATAGGTCATTTTACATATTTAGTCCCTACGTATCAAATATTAGTAATTTAGTCCCCAATTATTATATTCATTTCTACGAATGGTCCTTTGTTAACATTTTTTTTAAGAACGTGGATAAAATTGTAAATTCACACTCCTTTCTCTCCTCAATTAAGCTTCATCCCTCCCCTCGCACTCCTTTCCCAAACCCGTCGCTGAGTTTGAAGCTTTGAATCCAAAATCGAAATCATCACTCTTCTCTCAATTATTTGTCTAACTGGTGGAACCCAAATTCGAAACCAGTAACCTTCATGGATGAGTTTTAATGTTTATTTTCTTTGCAATTTCTTGAGACTAACCAATAAAACTCATCCATAGAGCTTATTAGTTTTGATTTTAGGTTTGACCAGGAAAATAGTATGAGAGGAGAAAGAAAGCTTAATTGAGGAGAGATGGAAGTATTAATATACAATTTTATCCATGTTCTTAACAAAAACGTTAATAAAGGACCATTCGCGAAAAATGATATACTTCCTCCGTCCCACTATATTTGTCCATTTTCATTTTTGCACACCATCCAATACACTTCTTTAATCCATTTTATCTTGTAATTTGTATATTAAAAAATTATAGAAATTATATATTACGGAGTAATAATCTATATGTTAAGACAAATCAAACAAGATCACGCATGACTATATTTAGGCTTACACATTGAGAGAATTTGATGAGTCAAAGTGCTTAGATGAACAGTTCCAAAAGTCAAAAGTGGACGAATATAGCGGGACGGAGGGAGTAATAATTAGGGACTAAATTAGTAATATTTGATATGTAAGGACTAAATATGTAAAACGACCTATAACTGAGGATCTTTTATGGAATTTACTCAAAATATTACTCTCTCCGTTCCAGAGTATTTGTCCACTTTCATTTTTAAACATCATCCAATACACTTCTTTAATCCATTTTATCTTGTAATTTGTATATTAAAAAATTATAGAAATTATATACTCCGTATTAATAATCTATATCTTAAGACAAATCAAACAAGATCACACATGACTATATTTAGGTTTACACATTAAGAGAATTTGATGAGCCAAATTGCTTAGATGAACAGTTTCAAAAGTCAAAAGTGGACAAATATAGCGAGACGGAGAGAGTATTACATTATAATATGAATGATTATTCTAATATATGAATTAACTAATTTTGTTTTATTAAAAAATAATAATAAAATAAAAAAATATTAATTATATTATAATATGAGTTATCATTACAAAAAAAATTCAGATAAAAAAAATACTCACGAAGTTAGAACAGAAGGGAGCCTCACCCTACACCGCTACACGATCGGATCGGTCGTCGCTGTATCTCATATATCGTCGGTCGTCGGTCTTCGCCGCAACCCGTATCTCTCCGACCAACGCAGGCCGTGTCTTCTCTTCGCTCCTTGCTCTTCAAACAGCGCAGCCATCCTGTGACAGTCACCGGTGGAAGCAGCACACCACGGGTTCAATTTTTTTTATTATGTATATTCTTCTTAGGAGATGTCACAGATCTAAAAAAAATATACACCTCCATTAATAGTTAATTAAATCATTAAGTGCATGTAGTGAGGGCTTCTAATCTGCAAATGCCTTGAATATTTTATCTGCTCATACTTGTTATTGATATATTACTGGTTCAATTTTTTAATTTTCCGGAATGGGTATTCAATCTGTGCAGATTGTTTATACTCCCCATTTTTTAATGTTCATTTGAGCTATTAAACTTGTATGAATTCAACCAGTGCATGTACTTTTAAATGCTCTCTAATGAAGCTTACTAATTTTTGTGTCCGTTTTGCCATTGATGCAGCCGACCAATGGAGGAAGATGTCCCTGTAAGTTTCTCTTTATATTCAGAGTGTAATGTGTGACATTTAAAGAATTAAAGTTGACTTCTTTGTTGTTGATCATTAATCACTGTTGGAATTTGAGGCCATGATCCTCTATCTTATGTTTTTATGGCTCAAAACGTTTGTTGCTTCTATTTTGTAGAACCTATTTTGAAAAGGTAACAGCCTTCTGCATTTTTTTTCTGTATATAAGAAGTTCAGCATGTGAAGGAATTTAGGACCTCAATGAACAATAATTTCACACTACAGCTCTTTTTGCTTTCACATTTTGCTATTTATCCACATATTTAACAAAACTAATTCCAGATTCTCAAGGTTAACTAATTTGTTGCATCTACATATCCTTCCTCAACATCAATTTTGAAAGTCATGTGGCAGCTATTGCACTGTACAGTCTAATTGTAATGAACGGTCTACAATATCGTCCCTTATCAAACAAACCATGCATTTTTCATTATTTAGCTAGTTATCCATGTGTATGTTCCTTGTATGTTTCATATCATGACGAACAACCTTTTTCCACTTTGTTTTAAGTGCTGAGTGTTTTGCCTGACACACTGTATTAAAACAGGGGAAGACTGAGGAGGAAGAGTTCAGCACTGGACCACTCTCTGTTCTCTCGATGAGTGTCAGGAACAATACACAGGTATCTGGGAACATGGTGCAGACATCAAATATTTGTTCAAATAAATTTCCACACAACAACCACTCATAAATCTTGCAAATTCATTTTAAACAAGAATGTCTATTAATGTGTGATATGTTCTCCATTTACCCAAGTTTGAGAATGTTAAAGTACATCCCACATCGGAAGTTCAAGAGTAAAATAATCGGTATATAAGCTCTTGAGTTGAACTAAATAATCGATTGGATTCAATCTTTTAATGTGGTTCAACTCAAGTGTCTTATTATCCAATCCAGTCGTCCATACCCCATCTTAAATTCTATCAGAGAATAATAAATTTTTCAAATATGTACAATTTGTGTCCTTCACAGTATTTCTTTCAACAACTTGAAATTGACTATGTGATTGGGGAAAGCAATTAAGAATTGTTTTCCAATTCATCTCGTTCGTTTGTCATTATAAGAATCCTTTAGACTCACCAAGGATGGTTTGTACAAACTCCATGTCTTGCTGCTCACACACAATTTTTTGATTCAAATTATTCGTTACATGTAAATTTTTATAAAGGACTGATATTTTTTTATTTTTCTCAAATAAATAGAACCCGTTCTAAGACGGACATTTTACTTCATGAATACTTAGAGATCAATTAGGGATTGTTTAGTAACATATTCAGAAGTAGAAAATGATTGGTTCTATTCAGGTTCATCTTAGAATGTGTTTCCGAACAAACCCTAAATGGTATCTAAATATTCATTAGGTAGTAATATGTGGGTTTAATTTTTTTGAGAAAAAAATACAAATTTTCGGGTTTTTTAAGAAATCGCATGTGACAAATAGTTTGAATAAAAATAGTGTACGGAAGACATGGAGTTTGTACAAACCTTCCCTTGCGAGTCCGAACATTCTTATAATGGCAGCATAAATAGATGTATTGGGAAGCAATTCTTTATTGCTCTCCCCAAACATATAGTCAATCGATTTGCTGAAATACTGTGAAGGACACATGTTTCAGAAACTTGTGATTCTGAAACTCAGGTTAATGGAGAGCATATGACTATAGTTCACTCACCAGACATTACACATTAAGAGACATTTTTGTTTAACGTGAATTTGCAAAATCTTAGCATGATGAGAAATTCAAGTTAACAGACACACACACACACAGATATACGTGTGTGTGTAATCCCACATATTTATTCACTCTGTCCCTAAATGTGAATCTCACATCCCACTTGCTTTTGGCATGCTCATAAGAAATTGAATTTTTGTGGTTGACATTTATTTAAAAATTAAAGAAAATATCAGAAAAGCAATTCTTTCATTTAAAGGGCAAGAGAACAGTGATTGTTTTGGAATATTTATAAAAGGAAAGTGACAAGTTAATTGGATGTATGCTATGTATTTTTTTTATTTGAAAAGGAAAAATGAATGTGACTTGTTTGTGCATTTAGGTCCTCATCAACTGTCGTAACAACAGGAAGCTGCTAGGCCGCGTGAGGGCCTTTGACCGTCACTGCAACATGGTGATGGAAAATGTTAGAGAAATGTGGACTGAGGTCATACTATTTTGCTGTACTGGTCTTTCATAAACTGTTTCAACCACCCCCCACCAGTAATTTGTTTTGACATTTTATTATTCTCCCCAGGTTCCCAAGACTGGCAAAGGGAAAAAGAAAGCCCTACCTGTTAATAAGGATAGGTTCATCAGCAAGATGTTCCTTCGTGGAGATTCGGTGATCATTGTCCTCCGAAACCCCAAATAGATGGTACCTCCTTTGCTTGAGTCTGTTTTCTACAATCAAATTAAAGTGTTATGCGTGAGTCTAACTGTTCCAATTGCCTATCTCCTATTACACTCGCGAGGCTACTCTTATGATCTAATGTTCTGGGCCTTATACCAATGGTAGTATGTAACTGCTTATTACATGCAACGTAATAGACGGAGCTAACAACAGTTTTTTCTGCTGCTACTATTCGGTTTTGTGTTCCTCATCTCGATTCTAAGATCATACCAACTTTTTGCACTTGTATCTTACTAGACGTTTTCAGTTTAGTCTCCGTTTGGTAGAATTAGTTGATTTTTCTTTTACGGTGGGGTAGATACAATGCCTTCTTCTTTTGTCTCCAGAGATGGCATTCACATTGCCTGAAATCTTGATCCAATATTGGGAGAAAATCCTAGACAAGCATTTTCTCTTTCCAAACTTCATCTCTCTCTAACTTGAGATCTCTGTTTCGTTAGTCTTAATTTATAACCATCCCATGTGCTTTCTTTGTAGATACAAACCCACATAGAGTCCCATGGCTCTCGGGACCTAGGGATTATCATGTTTGCGTTTATATATATACTTGTATCAGATACATGAAAATGAATACTACTCTGTATAAAAACATCAACCCAGTTAGATCTCACGAAAGTAGGGTCAGAATATGATGTGTGCGCAGATTTTGCTCCTACTCGAAAGTAGAGAGGGTGTTTCCATGAGACCCTCGGCTCAGGCAATCCATATAAGAATTGCTTATAAAAACTTAGTTACTATGTTCAATGTTTTTTTTATTTCGTTTAAGGTGACACACTTTTTAATGTAAGATGAAATAAGGTTTTGATTTTCATATTTGCCTTGGTGGTGTATTAAAGTGAAAAGAGATGTAAAAAAACAAGTAATATAAGAGTAAAACAATCTTTTAGTTACAAGATTGTAACAGAAGAAATAAATACAAGAAAAACAACACACCCGTAAAGCTACACAATAAATACTTTCTCCGTCCAACATTAAATTTCTCAATTACTATTATGGGCTCTTGATAATTTATGTTTGTTTGTATAGTTTCATTAATCATTTGATAAGATAAAATATTTTGTCACATTTTGTTTTGTAGTCCCTCTGTCCCATTTTATAATGTCTATTTTGACTTTAGACAATATTTAAGGAAGGAAAAGAATTAAGATTGACTTTCCAAAATTGCTCTTAAAGGTTTGAAGCTAAAAATGAAATAATCAAGAAAACCAAGTAAATTGCATACCTATTCATACACATACACGTACCATCACAATAAATAAAATCAAACAAATCATTACATTCACCCAATTCATCTCCTAATTTAAGTAAACATCCAATCAAAGTCTTGGAGGGAAAAATACCCTCCATTACACCAAAAAGACCTCATTAGTCTATAAAAGGAAAGCAACAGTTTACACATTTATTCCACTTTTTTCGTGCAAAACATCTCAAAAAAATGGAAACTCCATTGCCCTCTATCAACTTCAGCCAAACAACCGTTGGGTCATCTTCAATCCTTCATCCAGTTCAAGGAAGTTCCAGTGCAGCACCTAGCACCTGTCACAGAAGATGAAGAAGAAGAAGAAGGTTAGCTTTTGTATTAAACCAGTTTGTTCCAGAATCTCTTTCCCACTCTCCCATTTTTTAAGATTTTTCTTGTACAATTCATGTGGATGAAAAATGGTTTGAAATGTCCAAACAATCATTGAGATTATATAAAACTAAAAGGTAGAGAGAGCCCCATAGGACAGCTAAAAGTAAGGCTTACATTCCCAAACTGATGCACTTGTGTGTAGTAAGGAGGCATATTTTTAGTCCCAAAGGGGAGGTAATTTGGGATGGGAAAGTAAGCATTTGGTCTCTAACAATTCAAGTGCCTGCACAAAAGAAGAGTAAGAATAGGGCAACATGAACTTTAGAGACCAATGTCCGCCCGCCGATCCATCTTCCTCTGAGTGACCCGTTCTTAATGGGCTGAGGTCCAACCCTTATCTTAGGCCCCCAACCTTATTTCTTTCCCTATCTTGTCTCCTAGACAGTTTTTCTATGCCGGCCCACTACATTATATTTGAGCCAGATCTTCCTTATAATGTACGGATCCTAAGTTGAGCCAAAGCCCAATGTACTTGTAATTTCTCGATGGGCTTGGTTCCTATCACATGCCCCTTTTTTTACAAGTCAAAAATTAAATTTTTTTTGGCTGTAGTACACTTTATATCCTTTGATTGGGAGAGTTCATAACATCTCCTGTGAAAGATTCCCTTTTGGGAAACACCACTTTGTGAAAAGGCACTCTGCACTGATTCCTGTGGATGTTCCCCAATGACGCCATTTCTCGTGGGCCATAGGAACATTATTGGTGTCAGTGGTGTGCATATGCCAGCGTACCTGGACCATTTTTCGTTACCATAACTGTACCTTGGCAAACTGAGTACCATTATCTGTTATTATTTGCTCAGGAACGCCGAACCTGCACAATAAATTTTTCCAAACAAACTTCCTGAAATTTTATTCCGTAATCCTCACAAGGGCTTCTGCTTCAATCCATTTGGTGAAATAGTCCATCCCCACAATGACATACTTCTTTTTTCCCGTTCCCTGGACAAAAAGACCCACCAAATCCAACCCCCATCTAGCAAATGAAATAGCTGTGGTGACATGGGTGTAATAAGTGGATGGGCGTCCAGGGATAGGAGCAAATGCATGACAAGTATGACACTTTCTTATCAATTCTAGTGCATCTTTCTTCAAAGTGGGCCAATAAAACCCTTGGAGTATTACTTTTCTTGCCAAGGTGAGGGCACCTTGATGGGCAGAACATACCCCCTGGTGCACCTCTTCCAATATCCTGGGTGCTTCCCTCTCACTCAAGCACTTGATCATCGGTCCACCCAAAGTCCTTTTATATAATCTCCCTCCATCCAATTGATATTTTGGGGCCATCAATTGGATCCTGCGTGCTTCCTTGGGGTCAACAGGGAGTTCTCCCTTCTCAAGATATGTGGACAGGGGACTCATCCATGTTGCGTCTGGACCGGATATCTCAATGATATAGACGGCTTCCTCCCAAACTGGACAAATCTTCTCATGCTGTCTCACCATACTTTCCATGTGGACCGGGACGGTCCTACACAACTTGGCAAGCATGTCAGCCTCTTCATTTTCCTCCCTTGGGACATATATCAGCTCATAATATTCGAATTTCCCAAGTAAGGTTCTGGCGCAGTCCCTGTACCTCTTCAACCTTCCTTCCTTTGCTTCCATTTCTCCTTTTAATTGCCCCAATGGATAGCGCTAACTCAGCAAAATTTTGAGTAGTGGATGGACGGAGCTGAGAAGTAACGTTTTCTCCACCACAATTAGAGGATGGGGAGAAGTACCAAAAAGATTCTGGGCTGCATTGGAGCCCAAGCCCATCCACTTGGACATGGGGCGGTTCAAGGGACCCCTGTGAACCAGTGACCTGGCAAATGGGATGGGTTCCACTGCCATGGGGATGAAAGCCCAGTGAACCGGCGGGCTGAGTGGAAGAACAAACCCCCCTGCCAAAGAGAGGGGTTTGAGGAACACCTGGGATGAAATTGAGGCCCCTAAGAGCCCCATGAGAGAAATGGTAGAGGCCATCCTCATTAGAGTCGTCCTCCACCTCTTCTTGGTGGACCGCCTAGGTGGCGAGTTGAAGAGGGCGGTCCCCATCCCTTCTCCTTCAGTATCCTACTCTGGAGAGGGATCCCTCCGGGAGGATCGCCGCGACCCCTGTCGAAGCTGTGTGGCCTTGGGTGGAGGAGCCCAAGAAGAGACGGTGTTCCCCGATATCGCTTGAAGGGGAGCATCGGGGGGCACCCAGAATCCAAGACCCTGGAAGTAGCAGTTCTTGGAAAGAAGGTTGCGGGGAACCAGATGGCCATTCTTGAGGAGAAGACGGTAGGTCTCCTCAAGGGCGGGAGTGCGAGGAGGAAGAGTGTGGGAAGGGAACTTATCTTCCTTTTTCCTCCACACGTTTGGAAAAGGGAGATCCTCTGATCTGGGCCATCACCACGAAGAAGCGGCGGAACCAATCATCAATCTTGTCGATTGGGCTCTCAAAGAATTGCATATCCCGTTTGGGCCGTGAAGCTCACGAAGCCCCTACCCGCTTCACGGTCATATTTGTGAGGGCGGAAGAAAGAGAGGAAGAGTTCCAAGCTATGCTCGATACCTTTCTTATGGCATCGAGCGAGGAAGCAAAAGATGGATTCATGGGAATCGGAGGAGATTTGACCGGGAGGAATAGAATACCGGTTGCAAATTTCCACCAAAAAGGGATGGATGGGAAAGCGCCATCCCATCTTGACCGAGTCATAGTGAACGATCAAGCGACGAGGAGTGTTGTGGTTCAACTCCAAAGTGGTCTCGTCGGCGGGACAAACTTCTTAGTTGAGGGGAATCAGCACTCTCATCTCCCTCAATTGAGCTCCGATAATGGAGGAGACATTTGCATCCTCCTTGGATTTCTTTCACCATTGAAGAACTTGGAGGCCTTGGACATGGCTTTCTTCATTTTTGGAGAATGAAAGAGATAAGAAAGAAAAAGAGGTTGGTGCAAATGATATATGGATTGCTTGGGGAAGGTGAGGAGAAGGAGAAGGAAACTAACCGTATATATAGAAGGGAAGAGAGAAAGAAAAACGGTCCAGGTACAGTTATGGTAGGGAAAGGTCTCCAAAAGGAACCTCTTCAAGAAACGTCCCGATCCGTTACTACGGTGGGGCAGGATATTTAAGTGGACACAAGTACCAAGTGATCCACTACTAATGTCCTTCCCCATGCCAACGGTCCACCTATTATTGAAGTGGGGCAGGGACACAAGTACCAAGCGGTCCACTACTAATGTCCTTCACTCATTTGGTGATTATTATAATGGCAAATGTTTTAGCTATGCAATTTGTGATGTTGCATGGATCGTCTTCCAAAACTGCATGCACCACATCTTTTTGCGAGTGTTATCCAAAGTGCTATGAAAAAACTATCAGATTAATAATTTAACTGCATACAGAGAATGATATTGTGTACTGTATTGCGATTTTACATTCAATACTTAATGTTTTGGTTTTTCTGATTACCCCCACGATAGAGTGTAATTATCAAACTCATGATACAATATTATGAACAAATGTTTTATGAGTAATATTAATGTATTTTGAAATAAAACAAATTTGATGTGAGTTTTTAGTGTCATTTTTCTACAAACTTTGAAAATGTATATTAGTCCTTCATTATTGGAGGACTTTCCTTCTTCTAGACAAACAAATTTGTTTCTTATTGCGCAATATTTGGTACAAATTTCGATTGAATATATCCCCTAAGTACAGTAAGTTTCCTTCTTCAACATCAAATGATGTAC